ACAGTAAACCAGCAAATATGAACAGAATGTAGAAGCAGCCATGAGATGAAAGAGAAAAGCATAAGTGAGAAATACATGCTTGAATTCATTAAATACCATAGTTTGTAATGAGTGATAACAAATGTGAAGGTTTTATTTTAAGTTATTTGACACATTTGGCGCATTCACTGTTTTCATTTTCTACTTCTTCTTCATTGTGTTAGAGCAAACTAGGAGAGGCTCTGAGACTCTCTGAGCTGTTATCCTGAAATAGCCTTTGCCTTTTACACTCACCTCAATGCAGCTTATGTAAAGAGGCACGTCTAAAGCCCCAGCCCTTTTGATCAATGCATTTGGCATCAGATCTCTCCCTATTGACCTGGGTCACCTTCTTGATTCGCTCAAGAGGGTTTCTTGTTTACTCATCTCAGAGAGTTTCTTGTTTTTAGCAATTGTTGTGATGGTGTTCACTTGTGGAATACCATGAGGCGGGATCAAATAAGAATCCTGGCACTTTGACCATGTGATCTAAGTTTAGCTGCAGAGGTTTATGTAAGGTCGCTGCTATCATGGCTTATACAGTATATTTTTTTATAAACCCAGTGGCCGCTTTATGCCAAAAAGAAGGCATTGAGGGCGACACACACATAATCTTCTTAATGCTAATAATATAGACATTGCACTCATAGATGACACATTTTATCCAGTCAATCCATTCTGTTGCTGTACTGAACAAACACCATGATGCAATTCCAGGGCAATTTTTGCAGATGTATCAATTTGAAAACAAACACCCAAATGATTATACCATGCACAAAAACTGCGGGATTATTTTTTCAAATTTAAAACTCTGTCCATCTGATATATTTAAGACGATTGTGTCATTGTTTTAACCAACAAACTAAGAGTAGCATTTCACATTAACAGCAGTTAAATGTGTGCCATGACCTAATCAGCAATGACCTGTCACTCTACCCCCCAGAGCACACAGTGGATCTTTAAGTGTAGGTCAGGTGTTTATGTGTGTGTGTGTGTTCCTGTGTGTGTGTTTGTAACCTGGTCACCCTCCCCTTGGCTCACACACAGCTGTTTTACTTTGATTATAGGCTCTGTAGAAAGACAACCGCAATCATTTTCTTTAGAACGGTTTGGATCATCTGATCTCATCCTTCTCAGTGTGGTGTGGTCATCCCAGGTGCCCAGGTGTGTGTGTTTACATGTGTATGCTTCACAATTGAACAGCTACCTCAGCCCTACCGCAACCACAAACTCAAAAACCACCTGTGTCAGGTCATACTGAGAACCTGATAGTGATTTCCAACAACCTGCACTCACTCAGTGAGTGCACATGTTGTTGAACTGAAATCACCTTGGCCACCGCAGTGATGAGAAATTCCCCACGCTGTGAATGTCAGATCTTCAGAAGGTTGCATATTGTGCTGGCTCACCACGCTGCCTCTGAGGCCTGACCTCACTGTAAGTGGAGCCACAGCAGGAGCAGAAACAGCTAGGGTGCAGCTCTTTTCTCCACTGAGTGACACATACTTAGATTAGAGACACCTGATACCAGCCATCCATCCATCTATCTCTCTCTCTCCTCTGCCTGCCAGAGCCAGCTGGACCATGAGCCCATGGTACCAATCTGGTCCCGCAATAGAGAGAGAGAGAGGCTCAGAGCTGGGTGGGGTGAGAGGGGTGCTGCCTGCCAGCTCATCCTGTAATCTCATTTTGCTGTGGTTACTGTAAGTGAGATGGAGAAGGGAATGGTAGGAAAGGACCACAGTTCCCCATGAAAGTAATGGCTCTGGGAAGGGCCCAGTATCACTCTACCAGAGTCCCTCTGAAGCATTTAGCATTTGCTGTTAAACCACAAGTCTGGGAAACATATCCCAATATGGAAACACATACTGTAACATTGCATCAGGGTTAAAGTAGTCAAACAGCAATGATGATGTGCTATTATAACACAACAGGACACATTTTGTAATTTAAATAAATATCTAAAATATTAAAATATCATTGTGCATTTTGTTTCCCCTCTCAATACTGTGTTTTAGGACTTTTGGTTAACTTTTTGAAAATAAACTTGAAAATCCTAGTGAGAAAAAACTAACTGATTTCGAATGGGATGAAAGCAGTGCTCAGTTGAAAACAGTTTTGTCTGTAAGATTCATTGTTGGACTTTTTTAATCTCTAACTAATTTGGCTCTGAAATACACATTAGGAATAGCCATGCATTGGGGGAAAAAAGCGTATTCACATTCTTTCTGAGAGGTTGATGAGAAGTTTGATACCACTCTGATGTGTCTTAGCAAGCACCTGGAATCTTGTCGTTTCCAGAAGAAAGCATGTCCCAGCTAATAAATAATGATGCACATAATGGCCTGTTAATCATGTCTTTCTTAGAATTGTTGTATGGTTTAAGCAGACATATAAAAGGTGGCAACTCCATTTGCACAAAAAAAGCCTGATTGTACATATATGAGTCTTTAGGGGAAAATGTCAACTTCTCACTTTACCTCAGTAAACATCTTCCTAATGGGTTTATGGTGTCAATAACTGGTCTCAAGCTTCTTCGATTCTGCATGATGTTTATTTTGTACATATGTTTATTTTTAGAATAAAATAGATTGTAAAGCAGAGAATGCTAAAGGCATGGCTACCTTGAGATTGATGGGTCGAAACACATGTTGGTTGGTTTGGATGCAATCCATGTTTTCGTCTCAGAACTGTTACCCAATTTTTACAGTGTTTTTTTAGTTGATGGAAGTCAATTGTATCATTGTGGAAAGTGGTTATCACCACTTCCAATGAGAAAAAACAAAACAGAACAGTCTGGATAGCATTCAGTAGTTAACTGCTGATTTATGTTTACCATTTTTTTGATCCACAGTTGAAAGTACTAATGATTCTCACACATCTGTCTGCTCCCTCCCTTTCAGTCTACCATAGCTCTGGATCTCTCCTGGCTCAGACCTCGCAGACAGGCGGCTGTCTCGACAGTCTGGACTGTTGCTCCAGGCTTTGGCACCAGAGCCAACACGGGGAAAAGATGTTTGATAACTCCATATAAATAGCAGCAGCAGCAGCAGCAGCAGGGAACACTTTTACATTCGGCTGAATTCTTTGTTGTTGTTCTATACTGACCCACATACACCTGTCACCAAACGGAACATTGCATACAAAAACAGGCATGTTGTTGTTTTTATGGCTTGCATATGGCTTGCTTGAGTTGGTGTCTGTGACAAAACTGAGGTTTTAAATATCAGATGAACGGCCTGAGTGATACAGAGATGGACAAACAAGGTTTTAGAGAGCACAAAGAAGAATCTGATCCATCGCAAAGACTATCAATGTTTTATCCAAAGTAGGTCAAGGATTTAGTCAACAATTAAAATCGTCCTTAAATGTAACTACCATACACATAGCCAGCAACATTTATTTTTATTTGGTGAATATATTAAAATAGTCAACATTTATATTCTATAGAAAATGGGTCTTATAGGGCATTACATATTGCTTTTTTTCAGGGAAAACAGGTCAAGATTGCCACTGCTTTTGTTATTTGTATGCTTTTTGTCATGGCAGAAAACAAAGAAAGGCTGCCTGAAAAAACACTGACCTGTATAGACAGAAATCCAGGAATATCTTGGGTGCTTTTGGAAACATGCTAGATAAATACAAAAGTTGTATTTTAATTCCATTGTTGTTTCTGAACATTAGAAAGGTGTCCCAACCCACAGACAAATAGTCAACACAAGACACATTGGTCTTTAGTACTCATAAGGTTATTCCCAATCTAGTTACAGTTTTGACTGTGCATGTAGGAAAATGACCAGTTTTGGTTTATAGTAATTTACCTAGGTCTCCCATTTGCCTACCAGTGCACATATTAGCACACAAGGAAAGTCCCTTTATTGCTTCCTTTCAATAGTTTTTTTGTAATTGTGTCTGAGTAAAGCTTCCTCTGTTCTTAGAACAATGAGCAATTATCTGTAAACAGGCTAAGCAGGGAAAGACTGCCTCCTTTGCGTGTGTGTGTGTGTGTGTGTGTGTGTTTGTGAGCATGCATGTGTACCTGTGTGTTGATACGTGCACACATGCAAAGTATGACCAGCAATTGGCTGCAGGCCGAAGGGCTGCCAAGAAAAAGTGAGTTGAGTTCCTCAGAAGTCTATCTCTTTGATGTGGGCCGCCTTTTACCGTCAGCCTCAGCTCCGAGGCAACCGCAGCGCTCACACACTTCCCCTTACCTACCACTGATGATCTCGCTGACCCTCATTCTGCTACAGTTTCAATTTCAGTCCATTTTCTAGTGTGCGATTGCACGTGGTTATGTGTGCAAGTGTCAATAGGAAAACAGAAAGCATAACTTTCCCTATGCATGTTGCCTAATGGTTTGAATGAATTGTATAAGTCATAGCAGGATTTATCCACCTGAATGTCATGAAATCCCAGTGTGTGCAATATTGTAGATTTTTTACTGTGAATCTCTGATATTTAAAGTTTTAGCAACACTAAACAATGAGATTGTTTTCATCATATAGTCCCACATTTCCACTTGGATGCACAAAACCATAACTAAACTGACACACAAACATCTCTAACCTCAGTTGCACAGAAAACAAAAGAAAGCTTTCTCCTGAAGGCCCCCCAGCCTCGGTTACACTCTGGCTGCAGCGATTGTGCAAGCTGTTGTATAAGGCAGCTGCTCTACGTGCAGTTTAAGGTCACTGCCAGGAAAGGGCACATGTCACAAGCATCATTATGTTGTAATCTATCTATTCACCTGTATCTCTCCATTTAATCTCTCTGACTTACCATCAGCCACCCACATTTTCACTCTTTCCTTCTTCGCTTTTACTAGGTTACTGATGTCATGCAACACTTCCTGATACTTCTATAAATGTGCAGTATTTTGTAACTTCTCACACTCTGCTGCATCTTACAGTAGCTAACCAAAGGTTTGGCGAGTGCCAAAAACCTAATGCAAAGGAGAAAAAACTTTTCTGACAAGAGAGTTTCATTACAAATGTTTATTCACAAAACATGAAAAAGAGTACAATTTGAACAATATTGCATATTTGTCTGCATATTTAAGTAAGAATAATAGTCCATGAAAATGTGTCACAGGTTCAGACACAGCTTAAATCAGGATTCGCAGGCAAGTCTGCTTATTCCAAGAACTTCCTTATAGCTGTGCTGGAAAAATAAAAGTATAGTCCACTTAAACATTTTCAGACGCCTTCTTCAGAACCAGAACCAGAATCTTTCCTGTTCCCCTTCAGTCCAGTTTCAGTCCAGCATCTGCACTTTCACAAGTCCACTTCTTGCAAAGTCTTTGTGACCTCCACCGCTCAGTTCCCCACTCCCTTTTATCTAGGGCAGCAACTGGGTCATATAGTCATGCACTACAAGGTACATTCCATATCCTCCTCAGTGTCATCAAACTGTCTGTCCACTCCACATTCACCTTAGCCAGTCCACACTTGACCCCTGAACTTGAGCCCTTCCTCAGGGTCATCCAGAGCCAACATGCCAACCCAGGATGCACTGGAAGGTTGTGCTCTTGCAGAGGGGTTACAGCCACAGCCTCTTAATCCAGACATGTGAGGCAGAAAGGCTTGAGACCCCCAATTGAGGCTCAGCTCCTTCACTTTCTTTTCATAATCTTCATCATCATGTGAAGCATTGTTAGTGGAAAGTCACTTCAGCGCTCTGGGAGAGTGATGGTGGGCACCCAGTCGTAGACACTGCGACTCTCCTCACAGAACAGACTCAGCTTGTCCAGAGCAGGGTCCTTCCATGGGTTTGCACTGGGGCTCTGAAATATAAAAAAATAGATATTTAGAGTCAGACATGAGACAGACATAAGCATGCGTGCAGTGACTTGGCAGCGTGTAAATAATCTCCAGACAGAGGAGTGAAGCATGCATGATTCACTGTCTGCAGGCTGAGTGGGTGCACCCGGGAACGTACCGTGACAAGAATGCAGTGCGCGTCCTTGGGCTCCCCGGTTTCGTCTGTGCTCACGAGGTCAGCCAGGCGCTCGATGTCATTCACGCGCACAACGTTGATGTCGTTGTCAAAGCAGAAAGCCTGGATGAGGGTGAAGTGGATCTGCAAAGCAATGTCACACTCGTACTCCTCATCGGTGGCAAGGACGCAGAATGCCACGCTGTCTGGATCACTGTGGAGAAGACAAGGAAGCTGGTTAGAAAACATTCTTTCATGCGTAAGCTTAAAAAAAGAAATGTAGAAAAGACAATCGCAGTTAAACATTTCACGGATTGCAATACTTACACATTCATGATTTTAGCAGACTCGTAAACTCCAACAGTCAGGTAGTCCTGCTTCTTTGCAGCGACCAGCAGCTCTTCCAGTGCTGCGCCTGCACTTTGCACCCTTGACAAAGAAAAACATACACCATCAGAACACCGGCCACATTTTAGAAAACAGCTATTAAAACCATTAACCCAGCAACTGAAATAATGTCGTATCCATGTGTAAAATATTTACCTATCTGCGCTTTCCATTGTGTTCTCTTGTCCGCGGATCTCTTCCAGAGTCATAGTTATAATCCAAGTTCGTAAGTGAAAAGATAGCTCGTGTTATTCTGAGTTCGACACAGGCTGTGGGTGGCTTTATAGCAGAGCAGCGTAGTTTCTCGGCAAGGGGCGGTCTCTTCCGCTCATGCCTCCTACCATTGGCTCAGAGCAGCCGGTTAGGAAAGCAAAAATCCCCGGGCAGTTACGCGGAGCTTGTTGATAACCCCACGTGGGGCAAGATTACAATCTTTCTAGAAATGCCCCCCACCCACCACCGATTCCTGCTTGCCTTGTCAACATCACCACAGTGAACAAAAACTTAAAGTCCTGTTTACGGTGGACTTTAAGAGACAGATAGTGACACAATAAAGCTTGAACTCCCTGTGGCTTAAATTGGTCAACAAATCACATAACACATTATTCAAGTATTGTGGCATGACTATGATCAACATGTATACTGCATTCATATTTCATCACGTATTTGAAGAATAAAGTGTTTTCTTCTAGCATCCAATTATTTTTCATTTGTATAAGGCAGGGGTCTCCAACCTTTCTTCATCTGAGAGCTACTTTCAAAAAATGAAAGTGGCCAAGAGCTACTTGCATCACATCGCTTACATTTATTCACATAGCCCTCATCAGTTGAATTAAGCTATACTTTTGTACACGTGTGAAATTGCAATACCTAAAGCTTATCAAAAATAAGGTCCAAGAAAACAAAGATTTCTCACATATTATTATGGCCCACATAATAAGTACATCACTGAACATTCACATAAGTGTCCTTAATCACCACCTTACAAGCATTTCACTCTTTTGTTAGTGAGATGAATGGCACTGCATGCAGTCCACCATAGAGGTGTATGCTGGACCCACTTAGGTTCACTTAATAGAGTCATTTAAATGTTCATCAGTCGGTCTTGTTCTGTATTTAGATTTCATTCATGTCAGAAAAAGCTGCTTCACAAAGGTATGTAGAACAGAACCAAATAAAGCAGACATTTTCAGTGCTGCTTGGTGAATGTTCTTATAGTTTTCTGGGTCTACAAGGCTCCAGAAATGTTGTGAGTTTTGCTGAGACTTAAGCTGAACATTATTTTGGAGATCTCCACAGGATTGACACTGAACAGTTGTTCAGCCATCTTTTTCTTCTTCTTCTTCGTCTTGACATTAAATTATAAACCATAATAAATCAATTGTATAGGTCTAGCCTCCCTATATCTGTGTGTGAAAATGGTTCCATCCTCAAAAACAAAAAACTAATACTTCTGCAGTCTAGCTGCAGCTTCTAGCTACGGTCTTCTGTTAAAAAAAAGACACTGAATGTCTTGAATGTGGCATCACACACAGGACTTGAGTCTGAAAACAGCAGGAGTATTTACAATAGCATTATAAAAACAAAAATACTGCATGTGGGTGCACACTTACATTCTCTGTCTTACTGTTACATAAATCCCATGAATGTATGAGATTAAGTTAGCTTCATCATATCTCAATCAGTGATTAAGTGAATAATAAAGTTTCTATCGGGTCACTATCAGCCTGTCACTCATTATTTTCAGGGAGGGGGCGGGGTTTGGAGGAACGGAGAGGAGACGGTGATCGCGGAAGCTTTCCTCCTGCCTTCACAAACTTTACACAAGTATTTATCAACTGAAAATAGCAAGAGGACATTCATACTCTGCAATCCAAGACTTGATTAAATCCACCAAAAACCTGACATGACGATAACGAGTGTTTTTCAAAAAACACAAATCCCTCCCTGTGTGTCTCTGAGGCGCAGCGACAGGGCCTGATTCAGAGCGGGTCATTCTGCTGTTGGTTCTGGACTGGTGCTGGTGGAGAAAGCAGACTGCTCCGTGTGTGTTGTCGCTGTGCTGCTGTCACGTCTGTTCCTTGATCTCTGCGTCACCGACCATTTGATATTCGTGTGACAGAAAAAAATTCTAAAATAAAAAAACGTTATTGTCCAGCCGCGGCCGAAAAATCAATAAGCAACCTTACTACGCTATAATCGATAATCGAGCGGCGAGCTACTGAAAAGCTGCCCGCGAGCTACCGGTAGCTCGCGATCGACGTGTTGGAGAGCCCTGGTATAAGGGGATTGTTTTTTATTATGATTATGAAAGTCATAGTTTCATAAATGTATTCCACGTGTTGTTTACCACTTCATCACTGAATACCAGGAAGCTGCCTTGTGTTTTGGGTTATATAAACGTTGTAGCTACCAAATTATTGCAGTTATAAAAACAGTGGGCAAAGCAGACCAATATCAGAATACAGGTGACAGTGTAATTGAATAGTGAAAATAGTGAACGAAAGTAGGTGAAAGGGGCATCGGATGTGAAATGCATCCATCATAAACTCTGGAATAATCTTTTAAGGACTTTCCCAACTCGGGGAATCACTGCTGGGTTATAAATAGCCCGTCCAAACTTTCCCTGAAGTCTAGCCTTTCCCTTAATAAACGCTTGTTGATGCTGCTGCACCTGCACTGTGTGGTGCACTCTATCAACCCGGGAATTACAGAATTGTCCTGACCCAGATAGGTCAAGATGTCTCGATGGAGTGTTTTTGGAGGAGTGACCAAACAGCTTGTGGCCGGCACACGCCACTTTGTTCGCCCCTTGAAAAGGAAGCTTTAATTGCCAGTCTGACTCGACGCGTGTCGTTTCTCCACGGAGAGAAAAGGAGACTTTGTGTTACAACAATGCTTACGTCCTCCACCTGCCCCCGATCCTTTATGAGGCTGGGGGGGATGTCATGTGTTTGTGTGCGTGCCTATTGCGTGTGCCCCACACTCTTTATTACCCCACTCCTTTCAGTTTCCTGCGGCAGATGCCCGACAGATGCGCGTGGGCCCCTCCCGAAAAGCGCCACGTGCCGTAGCCAGTAGTGTTTTCAGGCCAGTTTATCTTATCAGAGACTGTGTTTACATTCAACATCACTCGCTTTTCAGACAGATGCCATGCATGTTGACACGCCGCGTGGCTGTCTTAAAGTGAAAATTACGTCTCCTATAGTGTCAACCTAATTTAAGTGTAGGCTTCAGTAATTTAGTTAATAGTTAATAGACATCAATACCACACATTATCAGGACTAGACAGTGAGCCCCTATTACAGAATGTTCTACTCTGTTGAAGTTGTTTACTTTACACGTTTCTTGGTAAATGAGTCAGCTTATTTACCACTCCGACATTTCTAAGAATGCAAATTAAGGGTACATGATAAAAGGATGACCTTTAACCTCACCAACACCATCTATGTTGCTGCTGTCCTCCATGAAGCAGAGCCTCCGTGTCACACATCTGGACTGACATTGCCACCTGCTGGGCTTTCAGAGAGTGACCTTTCCCTTACATTTCAATACTTCTCCACTAGTCTCAACATGTTCAATGAGCTCATGACTCATGATTACAACCTCACACTTGTGAGTCACAACCATTCCTCTATTTGTTGTCATTCCCCGACAGCTGAGGTTGCTTCTAAAGTCAGACAAAAACGGTTTGCCAGACATGGTGCATGTGAAAAGGGGAATACAAAAATAAATACAAATGTTTGAGTGATAGTGATATCATTTAATGAATAGGCTAAGACTTGAAAATGCCTCACATAGAAAAATATTCCTTTGTTATTAATATAGGGACATTTAGTTATATGGTATTAATAAAAAATTATTACATTAATCCAGTTGGAATGTTGTGACTTTAAGTGTTTTCAAAGCAAAAAGATGGGGGAGATCCCAGGCTGGCTGTGAAAATCCCCAACACAGGGTATATTAGAAACAGCTGAGCACTACTTTGTCTGGGAAAAGCTTGCTTAAATTAAACTGTAGGGCTATTGAAGAAGACTTTCTGAGATCATGATGATCTGAGAACATAATTTTAAACATATCTACACACCTCTCAGGTAAATACTGGAGTAGTAAGTGTATCTACTCGGTATAGCCAAATGTGTCTTATAATGTCTCATCTAATTACAAAGTAGATATTGTGTGGTCAATAATCTACTGAAGTTGAACAATTAATGTAGACAGGTATTCATCTTTTTGTTGGTCAATAACAGTTATCAAGACAAAATCTGTGTAATTCTGATATATAAAAGGTTTATTAATATTATAGATGTCCAGACATGTCTTATACATAAAGAATTTAAAAGTTCAGAAGAGCTACAATTATTCAAGCATATTTACATTTCATTCTTGGACTACGGCAAATGTCAGTGCATTTGTTCAACACGATCAACATTTAAAATCTCATTGACTGTCGATTATAACAAAAAGCAGTTCCAACACCATTTAGATTTCCTGTATTACTCACAGAAACTTAAGTACACAAAGAAATCACAAAAATGCCTCACTGACAAAACAGGTCATTACATTTTTGAGTACATTTTACTGCAACACGGTTTACCGAGCTATATCAAACCCCCTACTGTGTGTACACAGTGCTAAGGTATTTCAGACATGTTTAGAAAGGTAAGAACTGTCTCATCAAGTTGAACAAGAGAAGGTTGAAGGGGTAGAGTGGGGTTGGCTAACAATGACAAAGTCTAGGGGTTTATTGTCTTGTTTTATATTTTGCAAACATAATTTTTTCTTAACTGTACAACATAAAACGAAGCATTCCGAAATTTAAATCAGCATGGATACCCTTGTTACAAGGGAAATACTAAAAGAACTTTACAAGTCTACTAAATGGCCAAATGTCCTGCAATGGCTTAAGCGTGACGGTGGTCAATCAACCACTTTGATCAAGCTTTATGAGAATCAAGCAGCTTAAATTCTAATAGGCAATGGATGTTTCTGGACAGTTTGCAGTACAAACTGTAACACTAATTATTTTCACAATAATTTACTATGAGAGAGTACTTCATGTGCAGCAATATTTAGATTTGCTGTTGTCAAACCAAGCTCTCCCTTCGAGTTGGTGATAAACAATAATGCCTTCAAGTAATACTTCTCTAGAAGTAATCTACTGCAAGTTCTTTATAACGTTTTCTACGGAGGTGCCAACACATTTTTAGCACCATTTTGTGCTAGCCCTCAGTGCTTCTAAAGTTGCATGTGGCCTCCAGCAAGGTAAGC